TTTTTGAACGGAATTACTAAAATAAATCAACTTTTTCATGATATTCTAATTTTATGACCAGCACCTGTACATATTTGTGAGTGGTAAACAGATGTCACACCGTGGTATATTTTGCTACATTTGACGCCGACTTGTGCAAGTGGCTTTGAATTGGCCTCTAGAGTTGTCTTTGACTCCAAATTCGTACGTTTTAGACGCCAATCCAACGACTACTTACTAAAAGTTTCAATAAAATTCAGCCAAGGGTCATGAGATGTTTTCAACAGTTAATGCAAAAATGTTCTTCATTGTGTTGGGGGTGACTCTCAGCGACGACCACATCGAATTTTAACTCAATTTCTGTAAAACGCACAGTTGTAGCCATTATTCATGTTTGCCAAGGTCAATGAGCTGTGGCGGCCATCTTGAATCGGGTTGACTAAAAATTAAATAGTTCTAAATGTACATCCAACGACAACTAAATATTCAATGAAATCCTCTAGTTCATGGGATTTATTACCAACAGACATGTGCAACTACATGATTGCCCACCCATAATTACTAATATTTATGTTTGTGTGTTTCACTTAAAAAAATACAATTTAGTCTTCAGACTATGTGGCAAAAGCAACATTTATTTACTTATTTATTACAAGCAAACAAAATAAAAATAAAAAACATACAGCAGCAGTTTCCATTTCATTTGGAATCACATGGATACATTTAATATTTCCTAAATGGCATTGACAACATTTAAAAGCTACATTTTCTGTTGAGCTTTTAGAGTTTCATACAAAATACCCCCCAAAAAGCGACACTTTATAGCTCCCAGAGGAAAGACCAGACCAAAGAAATGTCTGCAAAACAAATATAATCAGCATTTCAGAGAAATGTGTGAAATGAATGGAAATAAAACTTTAAACAAAACTCCGCCCCTTCAGAGTTTACTCTGCTCCGATTGGTCAGCCCTGGTGGCCTGATGAGGCACGCCCACCAATCAGCACGGCCCAGATAGAAATTCAAAACTGAAGAGAAAAATGTCAAGAGAAACTGACAATTTGATTATTCCCATATGGATGACTCGATAAGATACATTGAAAAATGGTCACGTTTTAAATAATGAGAGTCTTTTACTAAAACGTCTGGTGGTGAAATATTTTCTAGTAGTTAATTTTAGGTACAGCACAGGTTGCAAGACTGGGAGATAAAGTTAGAGAGGCCAGACTGAGATGGTTTGGACATGTCCAGAGAAAGGACAGAGGTTTGGACATGTCCAGAGGAGGGACAGTGGGTATATTGGTAGAAGGATGAAATGCAGCTGCCAGGAAAAAGACAAAGAGGAGATGCGTGGATGTAGTTAGAGAGGACATGGAGGTAGTTGGAGGACAGAGAGAGGCGATCCCTGAAGAGGGAAAAACCAAAAAAAGTTAACTTTTATTAACCCTTTAATTGTTGAATCTCTTCAAACCTCCCCTCTCAGACACAATAAAAAAAATAAAAACCGTATTCTCAGCAATAATTTGGGCTGATTGAACGTTTTGGCTCCAGTATTTGTGTTTTTATCCTGTTTTTGCTAGCTGCATTAGCCTCTAGGAATTTGCCATAACGTCTCACCAGTAAAGAGTTCAGATGTGTCTGTAAAACTTTATTCTCGTTAATAAATCGAGGTTTGCTATCAGTCAAAATCAGCTGGAACATTCATCCATCATCTTCCACTTGTTCCAAAGTCAGGACTCCAAGGTGTTCCCAGGCCAACAGAGAGACATGGTCTCTCCAGCGTATCCGAGGTCTCCTCCCAGTCGGACATGCCTGAAGCACCTCCCTAGGGAGGCGTTCAGGGAGCATCCTTACCAGATGCCTGAACCACCTCAACTGGCTCCTCTCCATGTGAAGGAGCAGCGGTTCTACTCCGAGTCTCTCCTGATAACTGAACTTCTCACATTATCTCTGAGGGAGAGTCCAGCTACCCTGCAGAGGAAACTTATTTCAAACTTTTGTATCCACGATCTCATTCATGGTCACTAGAGTTCGTGGATTTACTGTACGTAGGAGGACCGTAGACCAAACAGTAAACGGAGAGCTTCACCTTACAGCTCAGCTCCCTCGTCACCACAACGGACAGACGCTGCACCAATCTGTCAATCTCTCGCTCCATTCTTCCCTCACTCGTGAGCAAAACCCCGAGATACTTGAACTCCTCCACTTGAGGCAGAACCTCACCCTCGACCCGAAGAGAACAATCCGCCCTTTTCCAACTGAGGACCACGGCCTCAGATTTGGAGGTGCCGATTCTCATCCCAGCCGCTTCACACTTGGCTGCGAACCGCTCCAGTGAGAGCTGAAGATCACGGCACGATGACGCCAACAGGACCACATCATCTGCAAAGAGCAGAGCTGGAATCCTGAGGCCACCGAACTGAACTCCCTCCGCCCGCTTAGAGGAGGTTCCGAATATTAAATCTTAGCACAGATTAAGAGCTTGTTCCCCAAAATGAACTAATTCTGTTTGCTTGGGTTATCTGCAGGGATGAGCAGTGATTTGGAAGCAGGAGATGTTTATTTTTGTTTACATCAGCACCTCTTATTGGTGCACCCACTTGTTTGTTGCGATGCTTTTCCAGGTGTGGTCATTTATTTATTAATTTTTTACAAAAAGAAAAACAACTCGATGCATTGCAGTGTTTCTGCCACTGTAGTTTATTTTGAAAGGATGATGAGCTCAAAATACAAACATTCCTTCCTCCACATTGATCCTTTAGACTGGTGAAAATGAAGATGTATACACCCCACAACAGACATGTGTGTGTGTGTGTGTGTATATATATATATAAAACTGGTAACAAAATAAAGATAAAGCCTCTTCATTGACTGAAACTCCTCCGTTGTAAATTAAACAAAAAGAGCTCCCAGGCTACATTTCACACTAACAGCCGGCTGCAGAACGAAGGTTTCCAGGTAAAAACTGCACATTGTGGTTTCATTCAACCCAAAAACGCCACTTTTATTCCTCAGATGTGGAAAACAAAAAAAACACTGAAGCAAATCGTTTTGTCGTTTTCACTTCAACGCCACAGACGATGATGAAGAAGCACAGAGGACTCACGATCTGACTGCAGGGAACGCGAACAAACCAGACTCCGGCCCTTCCTCTGCCGAGGTACGACCCAAGGATTTCATTCCAAAATAAACTGCATTTCTTGACAAACACAAAAATCTATATTAATAGGCTACTTTTTGGAATGAAATCCTTTATAGTATAAATAAAATGTCCATTTAAAGGCAGTTTTCAGACAAATGAAACAGATTTCTCTGCAAACACGATTAATGTTTTGACTGATGTGAGACGAGGAGCAGGTGCCACTTCATCACATGAAGAGACAGGAAATTAAAGCAACACTCCTGATTGGTTGGATTAACGAGCCAACGGTTTGAGTCGCGTGTAAACAAAAACAGCATGATCCATAAAGTCTCCGGTCTCACGTCATAAAAACAAAGACAAGAAGGCTGACAAAGTAAAACACGTGGCGTGAAACAGATTTGATGAAATGAACGGTTAAAAGTTCAGAAGATGGCTACACGTGTTGCATTCAATGGTGAGAGAAAAATCTGAATTGCAGAACTCGGATGAGAAGAGAAGTAAACACCTTTGGATAGTTGGACGCCCCCTAAAGGAGCAGCAGAGGACGTGCGAGACAAACAGCATTTTATTTTGAAAAGCTTTCAGTAGGGGACAAACCACCAGAGAACCTACAGCCCGTCCTCCAGGAGGGTTTCATGAAGCCAAACATCCAAAAATATGAATGAGGGGGGTTTAGACTTCATGAACCAATCAGACACCTCAGCGCTCGCAGATCAAAGAGTTCTGAGTGACGGGTCATCACGATTCCAGATTAATAAAAATAAAACTGAAGACTTATTATTGGCAAATATGAAATATGTCTGTAGAGAGGACTAATGAGACGTTTCTAAACTGGGAACCAGAACAGTCCTGGTTAGGCCGCGTGGTACCAGAAGTTTTGTTTAATCGTGCACGTAGAAATAAGATGCTACTTTCACAAAATGGCCTCAAACCGTATCCACTGGTCACAAACACGCAGAGTCCAGAGAGACGGAAACGGAAAATTCACCCATTTACTTCCATTTTGGAGTCGCCCGGTGAGGCAGAAGGTTTAATAACGTAAAAATGTTTTTAGTATTATATAAGAATGACTTAATTGGATCATTTAATTTAGTGACAAAAAGGGACAGTTAGTTATTTGGGTTTTTTTTTTTTTGGTAAGCCATAAAAAATTAATTTTCATCTGTAATTTACTAAATTTGAAAACATATTTTAAAACAGGTGACACAAACATGATTGATAATCTCTAATAAAACGATGATGAGATCAATTTCTGCTCAAAACCGGAGAAATTTACCTTCTTCAAGCAATAAAATAAAATAAAAGCGCAGGTAAAACCTTTGGCGTTTTCTTCAGAACTTGTGGTTTACCCCACGTCCCTCATGTTGCACCGGATCCTGTAGTTCAGGGGAGTTCGTATGGAATCAGATTTGTGCCAAAAAATAATAAATACAAAGATCAATAATTTCTACAATTATTTTGCTTTCCAATTTAAATTATGTACTTTAAAATGTTTGGTTTGTTTTATTCTGGTTTATTTTCTCACAGACTTTGGATTTATTGGCACAAATCGAATCCAGCAGTCGTCACGGGGGGAACGTCAGTAAGTTCTGGTTCTGGTTCTGACCGGGTTCGTTTCATTAGAACTCATGAGAGGAGGACACGGCTTGTTGAGGGGGACGGAGAGGACTGTCTGAGAACATTATGTCCTTCAGGACGTCTCACGTGGGTTTGTCTCCACCCAGCAGGAAAACAGTAAAACCTTCTGAACGACGATGGACGTTTTACCTTCGATGTCTCGGAACTGAACAGAGGGAGGTGAAAACACCGAGGCGGATCAGAACCTGGGGTCCAAAGTCTTAAGTCGGCCCTGGAGGAGAAGTTTGTCCACGATGCTCCTCCTCCTCGTGATGATGGTTTTCATTAAGAGTTCAGACAAACGAGCGCTGACCTTCTCCTGTCCGCCTGTGTTAACCTGTCGACACAAACAAATTCTGTCAGAATGGTGTCGACACCGAGCCGAACGAACATCAGCTGAATACATGCTGAAGAAACAGACAACGAGCTGTTCAAGCTAAAGGGAGCACACTAGCTAAGCGGAGCAGAGCGCTTGCTACAAGCAAAAATGAGCAGAATGCTAACTACAAGCTAAAATAAGCACAATACTAACTACAAGTTAAAATAAGCAGAATGCTAACTTCAAGCTAAAATGAGCAGAATGCTAACTACAAGCTAAAATGAGCAGAATGCTAACTACAAGCTAAAATGAGCAGAATGCTAACTACAAGCTAAAATGAGCAAAATGCTAACTACAAGCTAAAATGAGCAGAATGCTAATTACAAGCTAAAATGAGCAGACTGCTAACTACAAGCTAAAATGAGCAGACTGCTAACTACAAGCTAAAATTAGCAGAATGCTAACTACAAGCTAAAATTAGCAGAATGCCAACTACAAGCTAAAATGAGCAGAATGTTAACTACAAGCTAAAATGAGCAGAATGCTAACTACAAGCTAAAACGAGCAGAATGCCAACTACAAGCTAAAATATGCACAATGCTAACTACAAGCTAAATGCAAAATGCTAACTACAAGCTAAAATGAGCAGAATGCTAAGTACAAGCTAAAATGAGCAGAATGCTAACTACAAGCTAAAATGAGCAGAATGCTACTGTGCAGGGCTTAGTTACCATTTGCTTCCTGATGCATTCCATATTATTTTACCATATTAATAATCCTTATAATCCTACGGTCATTGTGAATGAAATTACGATGTTATTTGATTTTATGTTTTGGCATCACTGTGTGTGGAAAGATGGCACCAGTGAACACTGGGTACAGACGTTTATCACCCCCCCCCCCCCCCCATAAGAAACCTTGAACATGGTCGCCTTGGTTCGGTTCTGAAAAGCACTAGGACAAGGCGAAGGGGAGGGGCAGGCCCCTGATGAGTTTTCTACAAAACCTTTCTATTTCAGGAAGTCAGGACTCAAACAGGACAAATGGTAAATGGGCTGTACTTACACAGCACCTTTCTATCTAATCAAGATACTCAAAGCCCTTAACAACACACACTGTGCCCTCATTTACCTCCACACACACGTCCACTCTACTACATCTCCACAAAGATGATCTGTGGAGACTAATCAGAGCTTAGAGCACATTCATACACCGATGGGACACACAGACAGTGAGGGGTTCAGTGTCTTGCCCAGGGACACTTCAGCATGTTACTGCTGGTGGAACTGAACCCCCAACTCTTCCATTGGAGGACAACCACTCTAACCACTCTGCCACAGCTTCCCAAGGCACGAATAAGTTCCGTACTTGTGTGGCTAGCCTAATGCCAACAGTATCAAAACTCTAACTAAAGCTAAGAAATGGCTAAAGGCCAGTAAAAGTAAGAAACAGCTAACTAAAAGCTAAAAGTAGCTTAAAAAGACAAAAACAGAGGCTGATAGTTGAAGCAGATTTATAAGAGAAAAGTGGTTTTGAAGGAATAAAGTTCATGCTCAATAATCCAGGTATACAATCCAACAATTTTCAGTCAGGTCATCTGGACAGTTTCTTTTTTGTTGTTGTTGTTTTGTGCTGACACCTTTGTTGGTTTTGAACCAGTTTGACATGACTGTCGACGACGGAGAGGGCCAGCACCGGAGGAGGGGGCGTGCCAAAGAGACCATCTTAGCACCAACATAACTGGTTTGTTCCACTTTAGAGTAAGCTGTTGGGGGAAGAATCAGTTTTGTGTTGTGTGTTTCCTTGACTGATGAAGCCTTCTGGATGGAAGGTGAAACGTTTCAGCACAAAAAAAAGGAACTGTCCAGATGACCTGACTGAAAAATGTTGGTTTTGAAAGAATTAAAACAACTTTATTTATGGGCTAAAGATTTGTTAACACATTTCTAAAATACAAAAGTTACAAAAACCAAAAGTCTTGGCACCCATTTCCAGAACGAGCCGAGCGTTTTGATCTTTGAACGGCTAAAATAGAACAAAGTACAGAAAAACAGACTGCAGGAAAAAATAAATAAAAATAAACTCCCCCAGAAAAATAAAGTCTGTGTCCAACGACAGACGGAGTCCTGGACATGGACCTGGTCTCTGACTCGACCCTCGTCAGCTCGTTCAGCTTCTTCACTGCTGAACGGAAGAACTGATCATTTCTTCATCACCAGCTGTAAAAACGCTTCACACGCACCGAATCCTAATAAACGCCATTTACAGGTTCAACTTGAGACATGGTTCTGAAGCACGGTTCTCAAGAGCGGTTCTCATGAAGGTTCTGAAGCACGGTTCTGAAGAGCGGTTCTCATGAAGGTTCTGAAGCACAGTTCTGAGACTCAAAGATGTACAAGAAGGACTGAAGATCAGAGTCCACTGAAGTCCTCGTCATGCTGCCGAGACAAGTCCAGATTAAAGGCAGAGGGGTTATGTTCTTACAGAGTCTCTGTGTTAGCAAAATAACTTGTGAACCACTGGACGAATTTCAGTGAAACTAGAAATCTTCAAACGTGCATTTGGTGTCAACCTGGTTCAAGATGGCCGTCCCAGCCAACACCAGAGTCACTTAACGTGTTCATGAAGGAGTCGTGTGTTGAGTGATCGATGACGTCCACTCGTCAGAGTCTGAGGAGGCTGCAGCTCGTTTCCTCTCAAGAAGCCTCTAAAAGCTTCATGGTGCCTCTAATTTGCTGATCTCCACCCTGACACACACGCACGCACGCACGCACGCACGCACGCACGCACGCACACACACACACGCACACACACACACACACACACACACAGCTGCTGGTAATCACACAGCCGTTAGCAGAAGTGTAAACTCAATCAGTGCAGCTTTAAAGGAAGGAAAACAAACAATCGTCATCACAACGTTCTGCTGCATCGTTGTGCTGCAACGTTCTGCTGAAACGTTGCGCTGCAACGTTCTGCTGCAACGTTGTGCTGCAACGTTGTGCTGCAACGTTGTGCTGCAACGTTGTGCTGCAACGTTGTGCTGCAACGTTGTGCTGCAACGTTGTGCTGCAACGTTCTGCTGAAACGTTCTGCTGCATCGTTGCTGAAACGTTGGTTTACACTACGTGTTTGTAGAAAAGGAGCCACCTCATTGTCAGTGAATGTTGATGAAACTAAAAGCAGCCATGATTCTTGTGTAAATATTACAAAGACTTGCCGATTGATTTCACGCCGGACGTTCTCCCTGACTCAACCACAGACACCGAGCTACCACAGCCTCCGTGTGGAGCAGACAGCTGACATCTGGGGCGCCCGGGGGAGCAGATGTTGGGGGTTGAGGGTCTTGCTCAAGGGCAAATGTGGCTGGAGACAGGTTTGGGTGCTTCAGCTTTCCCACCCACATTTTGATGATGTCGGTCTGGAGAGTTGAACCGGCAACCTTCCGATCACAGGCTTGCCTTCTTTGACCTCTGCGCCACCGCTCCTCATATTATATAAACGTCTAAAATGAAAATGAATTCTGATTTGACTGAATCTCACGATGAGAGCCGATATTCCGTTTGTCTCTAGGATCAACAGAGTTTGCATTTCAAACACCACGACCGCCAGCTGATCTACAACAGAACGGGTCAGGACTGGTCCAGTTTCCCCTCAGAGCACAGATTCAGTTTTGGACTCAGTGGAACCAGGTGAAACATTTTAGAACCTGGTGAAACACGATCTAAATTTCTCATCAACTTTCTCCATTTAAACGTTAAAATCTTCTTTTAAGTTTTCACTTTGAGACTTTGGGCGTTTACACAACTCCTAAATTATTTGGGCCCATTAATTATTCACGGTTCGTGTCTCTGCCGACCAAACAAGATCCCTGTTCTCCGTTCGTTGATGCTTTTATGATGGTTTTCACTCTGCAGCAAACGATAAATATTTATTGCAAGACGTTTCCATTATCCAGAGTGCTAACGCCCGACGCGCACCGAACGGCTGCAAAACGAGCGATAACGAGCCAACCGCAGCCTGCCGTTTATTCACCCAGATCACTTCTGGACCGCACACGGCGGCTGCTGATGTGGAGGAGAGCGGGTTATTGATTCCTCCACAACCACGTGGGATAACTGGGATAAGTGGTTCCTCCTCCCGCCTGCGGGAAACGTTCGCACTAATGATTCATGATCGCCTCGGATTCAGGCACAAGAGATAAAACCAATTATTCATCCGGGAGCTCGTGTCTGACTCGATGTGCACGCGTGGACACGTGCACGCACAGCCTCTTTTTGAAGATTCACAGCAGAGCAGGAAGTCACGATCAAACCTCAAGAAACAGGAAACTGTTCTGACCGAACCACGACGACATGTGGTCACACTCAGTTCAACTTTTTACTGTTCTGTAAGTTTTCTCCTTTTTAACACTTGCTGCCGTTACAGGCGGGAGATCATGTAAGTGCCCGTGTCCGAGCGTGTGACAGTGTCCGTGTTAGCTGAATGTTTTTTTTTTTTAAACCGATTCACTTCAGCATCAAAACGCCCACCACAGCTGACCGCCCTCAGCGAACACTAAACTGACTCCGGTTCAGTGGTAGTAGCCGAGACTGATCCCCAACACGTTCCCCGAGCTCCGACAGCACGGTTCCTTCAAACGATGCTACGTTTCAATCATAAACTTAGAAAAAGATCCTTTTTTTGTTGTAAAAAGTGTTTTTAACAACAGGTTTACGTGAGCACAATACTATTTCAGTTCATCCAACAATGTCGGGTCATCTGGACTGTTTCTTTTGTTGCCAGATCTCGCGATAGAAACAAGCAACCAGATCTATGAAAACAAGCTCCACAAAAAAGCCCAACTGGCAACCCACCACATTGTGTAAAACAGAGGCCGTTTTTAAACAGTATAAACACACATTTATTATGGCATTACACATAAACAACAGCAAAATCACACTAAACACTTTGATAACATACTTTTAAGCTTAGATAAAAAAAAAAAAAACATTTTGCATATGTAACAAATATGTAAATCGTATTTTTTCTGCATATTTTTAAAAACAAAACATCCTGACATCTGTGTGAGTGGAGCCCCCTAGTGGTCAGCCACAGTACGAGCGTATGTTTGGTTGTGAGCCGTCGCCTAGTTGGCGGGAGTGATAAACAGGAGACGGGGGCGTGGAAGGGACAAACTACCTACTACCACTCGTCTTTTGCTTTGTTGTGCGGAGCTGGGAGATAATCAACTAGTTTCACTCGGAAAGAAAGTCAAACCCAAAAAACCCCACGAGATATGCGAGCGACTTTAGAACAAAACAAGCCCAAAGTCGCTTATAATAAGCAGACTTGGCAACACTGTTGCTGAGATGTTTCTTCCATCATGCGAAGGACTTCTTCAGTCTGAAGAGCCCAGCAAACCAAACTGATTCCCATAAACAGCTCATGCCCAGAGTGGAAAAAAACGCCCTCTGCCCCGTCAACTTCCCCAAGGCAGACCACACCAAAGTGGTTCAAAACACCAAAGTTCACCACCAAAGGAAGGATGAAACGTCTCAGCAACAAAAGAAACCATCCAGATGACCTGACTGAACATTGTTGGATTTATACCTGGATTAATAAACATTAACTTTGGTGTCTCAGTTCATGTTGGTTTACACAGAGAACTAATTAATTAAGTTTTAATATCTAACATTTAACATTTATGATGAGGCTGATTTATAATGGACATCCCAGATGGATCCAAAAAAGTTCAATCTGGGCCTCTGGACATCCAAAAAAAGCAAAACAAAGCAAAAAAAATATAGACTAGTTTGAGGCAATCCTGGCCAAAGTGGTTCAAAATATCCTGATGCATGCTCAATAATCCAGGTAGAAAAATCCAAAAAAGCTCAATCTGGTCCTCTGGACTAGTCTATATTTTTTTGCTTTGTTTTGTTTTTTTTGAATGTCCAGAGGACCAGATTGAACTTTTTTGGATTTTTCTACCTGGATTATTGAGCATGCATCAGGATATCCCAGATGGACCTTTAGCAACTCAAATAAACCGTTTAAAATAAATAATAAGAATAAAAATTAGGATTAACATAATACATACAGCCACATTAAAAGATTCAAATAACACTAAAATAGTGAACTGGTTCTTCAGTCTTCATCCAAACTCCAGATGGATCAGTTCCTGTCTGCATGATCACGTGTGACGTAGGTTTTTATAAATATATATATATATATATATATATATATATATAATTATATATATATAATTATATATATATATTCACCATTTTCTTCATCGACTGGGATTAGCTACTTGACTGGATTGCTGTCATACGAGCGTCTATTTCATTGAAAATGAACAGAAAGCCTCCTCAGTCCCAGTCAGAAACACATTTTTAATCTGCAGGTAGCTAATTCCACACGTTAATCCCTCGTACAGAATAAAGCTGTCTGCCATGAAGATGTTTGCCGAGCAGGAACCTTAAAGTTCCCGCTGAGCTCGTGGATCTGAGAAGAACCAGAAGGTCCCCGAGCGCCTGAGGAGCCTGTCCAGTTCAACATTTAAAATTAGTGCAACGTTAGAAAATGTGACACAATGTTCATCATGTTGAGTTTCTCCAGACGATGACGGTTTTAGGTTAATTTAATTTATCTCTTGTTGCTCAGCTGACGTTTTCTAACTTCTGACCCAAACAAACTGTAGAATGCTCAAGGTGCTTCCTACAGACACTGCTGCAATAGATAAATAAAGGTCCAACAGAACTTACAAACAGTGACCACGCTGCAGTCTATGAGCAGCGTTTAATAATTAATTTTAAATTTGTTGTTTACTCTTTAAAACAGGGGTGTCCAAAGTGCGGTCCGAGGCCTTGGAGGGATTATGTCATAATGTCATAATTTTGGCCCGCAGGCTTGATGCAGATGCAGACATTCTACAAATTTAACCGTGTTGTTTATTATATAATTTTTAGGTTTAACAGTGAAAAAAATCTAAAAATAAGCTGTAATAATGGCTGTAATTAATCTTTTCTTTTTCCATTTCATGGTACAAAGCACCACACGTTTACTGACTTCTACCAAAAATAGACTTCTGGATGATTCGTCATAATATTTGACTAAATGAGTGTTTTAAAATAAGAAGAAATAAAAGTTGATTTACTAATCGATGGAGGGAAATGAATATAAAATAATATCATCTGCATACAAGTTGAGTTTTGGTGTTTATGAATCTGTTTTAGTGACTGGCAGCTGTGCAGTGTTTCAGAACTTAGATCAGCTTTTGAGCCATCAAATAAACTAATATTGTTTTTTTTATTTTATTTTGGTTTTTAATCAAAGACTAATGTTTACAAGGCTTTTAATGTTTTAGGTCTAAACATTTCAGAACTCCTTCTCCACCAAAATTAGAAAACTGTTGTCCTTTCTCCAAAATATTGTTTGCATTGTTGAGAGTTTAAAAATAAATAAATAAAATAAAATAAAATAATAAAATAAGTATGCTTTTTTGAAAATTATGCTATATTTAATTTTTGTGGCCGTTGAGTCCTTTCATCTTGACTGACATATGAAAAAGTTTGGACAGCCCCTGCTTTAGAACATGTTTATCAACTCATAAAACACCTTTTTATGTCCAAAATGGTTGTTTTTTTGTGAAGTGGAACTTTTTTTTTTCTTTTTAACTTTATAAACTATTTTCTAATTTCTGTTGAAATTGTTTTAATAAAATGCTGCACTCACTTCCTCAATTTCCCAGCACAAAATATAAAAATTAAATCAGTATTCCTGAATGTGACCCACCGCCTCGAATGCTAAAGATTTAAACGAAGACGCTGCTTGATCTGTTAGAGCTCAGGGCACGGCTTGGGGAGGACTCTCAGCTACTACCACGTCCAATTTTAGCTCAACATCTGTAAAATTATTGAAGACATTTTTGTGTTCGTTAAAGTCACTTAGCTGAGCTGATGAATCAGGTTGGCAAATAAAGTTAATCCTTTATGGTAGTTTAATTAAAATCCTTCTGGTGGTTCATGAGATATTTTGCTAACAGACAGACGGGCACAAGCACCAGAGCATATTGTTAAGAGTCAGTGATTAGAACCAAACCTGAGGACGTTTGTTCTGAGGACGGTTCTGCTTCTTCTGTCGGAGCGCTGTCGGTCCTGGCCGGCGCCGCCTCGTCACTGCCCCCCGTCGCAGCCTCAGACGAGCTCCGTTTGGCCTCAGGGACAGCAGGAGGAGGAGAGTCGGGTTTGTCTTCTAACAGAAAATATGTTTAAAAAAATTGTTTAAACTTTATTTATTCAGTAAAAACACCCAAGATTTAAAATCGCTCTGACAAGAGTCACTTAAAGAATCTGTTGTCTGTGTCAGGGAGGCGAGAGTCTTTACCTGGATCTGTTCCCAGGTCAGCTGACTCATCTGCCTCTCTGACCTCTGAAGGGGTGGGATCATAAACCTCAGAGGGAGTGGGGTCAGGAACCTCCGATGGGGCGGGGTTAGAAACAGATGGGGCGGGGTCAGAAGCCTCAGATGGGGCGAGGTTAGAAACAGATGGGGCGGGGTTAGAAACAGATGGGGCGGGGTCAGAAACCTCAGATGTGGCGAGGTTAGAAACAGACAGGGCAGGGTCAGAAACAGATGGGGCGGGGTCACAAACAGATGGGGCGGGGTCAGAAACCTTAGATGGGGCGGGGTCAGAAACCTCAGATGGGGCAGGGTCAGAAATCTCAGACGGGACAGGGTTAGAAACAGATGGGGCGGGGTCAGAAACCTCAGATAGG